CATAGTTGTGAGGGGGGAATATGCTGGCTTAGACTCTTAACTATATGTCTAAAAAGCCGAAATTAGTCAAGCCTATTTTATTGGATCGGGCTAAAATTTTGATAGCACATTCATGGCGTAAGGTTCTTTTGATCGTTATGATCATCAACTGGAGGTAGGTATGTGGTTGGAGATATCAGTCTCACACTATGGCTGAATTTTAGGTTTCTTTTCTTCTTTTTTCAAATTCGAGAGCACTATTGCTTTTGATATATTGTTGTTTGTAGGCACTTATTTGTACATTTTGATTTGACTGTCTTGTACTCTTTTTTTTTTATCTTAGTAAAGCTTGATTGATTGGCTTGTGCCCATAGATTTTTACTTCTCATATTGAGTGATTTTCCCATATTAAAAATATTTTTTTGGTGTTCTTTGTTATTATTATTCTTGTCATTTTTTGTTGTTGTTTCTCCTCTCAGATTTTTGCAAATTTAGGGAAATTATTTCCGCTGCATACTTTGATATTTTTTTAGTGTTGTGTTGTTTTTCAAGAGGTCACTACTACTAAGTTCTCATAGTTAAGAAATGTTTCCGCTCGAAAGGGATAGTGTACCAATGTGAAAGGAATCACACTTGAGAGAGATTGTTGAGAATTCAAAGGTGTTTTGAGTCCTACATTGGATAAAAATGGGAAAGTTGAGTAACTAATAAGTGAGAAAGATCCATAACCTAATGTCTTAAGGTTTTGGGTTGAAAATGATTCATATTCTTTATATGGTTAGCTCATGTCCTATTTGTGAAAATCTCTTTATTGTTAGCCCCTCTTATACATAACATGTCCACTATGATAACATCGTTAAGGTTAATTTTTATGTCCAAGGTAGTCCACTTTAAAATTCTCGTTCATCACAGTTTTGTTCTTCATAAATTAACGAAACAAATATAATTGTGAAAATAAAGCTGTTAGGTGTAAAAAACTTATAATATTTAATCTAAAAAATATTCAAATGTTTAGTGTATTGGTAATTACTAATTAGTTAATTAAATTTATTTATTAATATACATTTAAAATATTTTTAAAACAAGTAAAAATTATAATTATTAATTTTTTATATATATATTTAACAAAATATAATACATAAAAAAATATTTAATATACTAATATTAAATTAACAAATTAAAAATAGAAACTCACTCTTCTATTTTCATGAATTCAAATTTTTAAGTTTTAACATTACTTTTTATTTTAATTTTAAAATTTAAAATTTTCATGTAATATATTATGAATTTTTAATATTGAATAATAAATTAAAAAATTAACGATACAAATAACTAAAGTTTTAATTTAATAGAATATTCATAATTAAGGTTTTTTTTTTATGTTTTAATGTTAAAGTAATGAAACTGTACATTACTAATTAACAATCAAAGTGAGATAATACCTTATACACTTAAAAATATATATTTTTTAAAGATTTATTATTATTATTATTATTATTATTATTATTATTATTATTATTATTATTATTATTATTATTTTTAATCCATAATAGATTTACAATAAATAAACATCTTTTTTTTCACGTCATTCCTTTTGGGGAAGAAAAGGGATTGAAAAACCTATATATATTTTCTCTTTTTTAAAATTAATTTTCATTTTTTTATTAAGGAGTGAACTTTTAGGTGCACCATTCTACTTAAGGAGATTTGAATATATTTATCCATCTCTATAAATAATTTAATAAAGGTTAAAAGTGATAATACATATAGCAATTATCCCATGAAATAAATATATTATGTTTAATAAAAATATGGAATAAAATAAATAAAGTTGTATTTTTTTTAAAAAGCTAATGAGTATTTTATGATTATATTAATTAAAAAACGTTCATTGTTTATTTATTTTATTTTCCGAATCCATCATCCAGATACGATTAAATATGCACAAGCTTAGAAGAATCGAGTTTTTGAGACGGGTAATAGTTTACACACAGGTGGTTCTATTAGTATGCATGAACACGTCATTCGTATGGTAAATATGCAATTATAACAAACGTTTCATTCATTCATTTCTTCATGATATATTATTAATTAATTTTTTTTTAGGAAAAGGAGTTGAGTCATCCTGCACATATTGATGAGGTGTTCAAACAGACTCATATACAAAAGGTTAATGGTGAATTTGTTGATGAAAGGCCTAGAAAGACTCATGTGAGTTGTGAATTTATTTAATATTACTCTCTTATATGTTATGATGAATATGTGTTGTATATCGTACATAATTTTTATTTGTATGTTAATATGAAGAATTTCAGAGAAGATATTCTTAGGCTAGATCTGAGGTAGCATCTTGTGCTGCTAAAACCGAGTCATCTCCATTAGATCCTATAGAGGAGGAGAGAATAAGGATTGAAAGTTGGATTCTTGCTGCAGCTAGCAACAAAAAAGGTCGGATCTACGGTGTTGGAGAACTTGCCCATAATTTTAGGCCTGGAGATACCCTCTCATATTCAGGATCTACTGATTCTCGTGAGATTACGCAATTAAAAGAACAAGTGCTTAGTTATAGGGAGGATAATGAAATATTGAGCCACCAATTACAAAAGTGTTGTCCTTCCTTTACTTCCACTTGATGCCCAACAAGTATTTCAACATCAACCTTCCCAACAAGGATCAGAACAACAACACGAGCAACAACAATCACAGGAGCAGCAAGAGCAGCAACAAGAATCACAACATCAACCAGTTTTTGCAGAGCAACCTCAAAATGAACAAGGACATTACTCAAATTATTAAGACACTCAAACAATATTGTCATAATATTTATTATAATACTTATTTGGATTTATATGTTCTTAGATATTTAAATGACTATTTGATGCATGCTAATATTAGGATTTGTGTTTGATATCTGAATATGCACTTGGTGCATATAAATATTATGGAATATTGTTAAATTTGATATCTAAATACTTTGTGTGTAATATGCATGTAACAGGTAAAATTTTATAAATTTACCTAATGATTTACCTACGGATTTGAACGTGGTAATTACTCATGAATTACAATTCGTAGGTAATTATCTACAGATTTTGTTCGTAGGTAATTACCCACGAATTACAATCTGTAGGTAAATTACTCACGAATAACATTACCTATGGACAATAATTTCATAGGTAAATTACCTACGACCATATTATATATGGATTTCTTACGGGAAAAAATCCGTAGATAAAATGACATTATTTACATATTTTTATCATTACCTACTGATTTTTGCCGTAGATAATAAATTATTTTTTTTAGTGAATCATGTTTTCTTCGTATGAAACAATTTATTTTATCCAAAAAACTATTTTATTTACTTATTTTCCTATATGAATAACTTCTTCCTAATAATGAAATATGACCAAAACTTAATAATGACATGTGATCTAAAATCGTACATGCCTCTGAATTGAAAGCATGGTCACGTATGTCGTACGTTCACACTCACATACCGTATGAGAGGAATGGTATTGGTAACGGGTACCGTATAATAATAAGGTTCTTATGTAAATATTAGCCGTACACGTCACCAGATGATAATAAAAAAATTAAGAGAATGGATATTCAACTACTTTTAAAGTATTCGTGATAAACTGTACCAATTATAATACATTTAATATCACTATAATGTTAATTAATTTTGAATATATAAAAAAATGTAATATGGAGTTATTTAATGAAATGTTTAATCGCTTTGTTAGCCGAACTGATATAGGATTTACCTAATAAAAATAAATTTGCTATTATAAATATACAAATTCTCTGGCGTATGCATCATTTTTTTCTTCTGTATTGTAAGCATGATTAACAGCTTTTTACAGAACCTTGAAAATTATAATTGATTAAAAGGAAGTACCTCTTATACTGTAATTATGTATTAAAATTCAGTATTCAAAACCAAATAAACTCTCTTATTTATTTTTTACTAATCATTTAAAAAAACACGTTTTAAATAATTTTAAAACAATAAATTTGTTTCCGTTAAGAATAAAAATGATGCATATTAATGTCCGTGGTTATCAGTTTTAAATCTCTAATCAATTACAATTTTATCCTTAATTTTAATATTTTTATAGAAAAAAAAATTAATTAAAAAATTATGAATACTAATAAAAATACATATATTATAAAATGCAGTGTTATTGTTGTACAATTGATATTTTTATTAAAAGTTATTTTGTTTTCTCTTTTTGTTTTTTAAATATATCCGCTTTTTCTTCATTAATTATTTATTATATTTATTATATATTTATTATTTTTAAAACATATAAATCATAATATTATTATTTTTCTTACGATAAAAAAAGTTACAAATGATAAATTTTGTATGCAAACAAGTCACACAACAGTAAAAAAGAATATTAGAGACATTTATTAGAAGATATATTTTTTTAATTATTAATTGAGTTCTACAGTTTTTATGTAAATAAATCAAATAACAGGTCTTAAACTGAAAAAAAAAAATCTAAAATCATAATTAAAAATCGAAAAGGGGGGAAATGGTTATTATTAGTGGTAGGAATTTAGAGTGTGAAATGTTTACCAGATAAGAGATCCGCCACAAGTTGCAGTCTTTGCAATAGTAATATTTTGCGCGTCTCAGAGGGATAAGCAAGAGAAGAGAGTCAACGAGTCAAACACCAAACACCGTCTCAATCCTTAAAGTAGTACTATTAAATTTATTCTGCTAAAAATAATATTGAACATTACAATTAAAAAAGAGTACATAAGACGTGGTGCATCCTCCGTGTGGTCCGCGTCCCTTTATATATATAATTCCCATACATGCCCCAATAAGTGAAACCATCAAAACATAAGCCCAAATCCCCCACATGTTTCTTCGTCCCCTTCGTTTCTAAATACCACCTCTCTCTCATCATCATACATAATATTCCTCACTCCTACCCATCTTAAGATTAAACACTCATCACGTCCTAATAAGCCAGAGCAAATAGCTAGCTATCATTAGAATTATGGATAGTAACCATGGGCCCCTAGTAGAGACACAAGCGAGGGTGCAGCGTGATGAAAACGAGATGTTAGGCCTCAGAAAAGGTCCATGGACGGTTGACGAGGACACCATTCTCGTCAACTACATCGCCAACCATGGTGAAGGTCACTGGAATTCCGTGGCACGATGTGCAGGTCTGTACGCTCTCTTTTATTACCATTTAATTACTTTCTCTTTCTGCATGCGTTCGCTAAGTAGTAATAATAATAATAATATATATATATATATATATATATATATATATATATCAAATTAAATATTCAGGTTTAAGGAGGAGTGGGAAGAGTTGCAGATTAAGGTGGCTAAACTACTTGCGCCCCGATGTGCGGCGGGGAAACATCACACTCCAAGAACAAATACTAATTCTCGACCTTCACTCTCGGTGGGGCAACAGGTATAAATTCTATCTATGTTTTTTTTTTTTTATGTGGTTGTGTGTAGGGATTATGTGATATATGATACATGATGTTGATTTTTCGTAGGTGGTCGAAGATTGCTCAGCAGCTGCCGGGAAGAACGGACAATGAAATAAAGAACTATTGGAGGACGAGAGTGATAAAACAGGCGAAGCAACTCAAGTGCGATGTCAATAGCGAACAGTTCAGAGACACTTTGCGTTATGTGTGGATGCCGCGCTTACTAGAGCGGGTTCAGCCCAAGTCGCAACTTCTGGAGCCTCAGATGAAAGTGGACACAAACCCAAGTGGAGTTCAGGGTTTTCATCAACAAACCGGGTTTCACGGTTCAGATTCAGTGACAGAGTGGGGTAAACCCAACCACTCCACCGGTTCTTACTCGGACTCATCATCCGTGGATCTCCAAGTTCATTCGAATTCAGACCATAACGATTCTTGGGATTCGGGTATCGATCTGTGGGCAAGTTTCAATTCGTTGGAACAGGGGAACTGTGGGAGTGAGTCGTTGGAAAGTTTGTGGAATGACCTCGAAATAAAATACAGTTTCCTTCCGTGACGCATTGTGCAATGCACAGTGTCAAAAGTTGAGCATGCGTTCATTGTTTTCCTGACTTTATGTAAAAACTGGAGACTAAACTTAGCCACGTCCTTAAAAGTTAATAGCATTCAAATAATGAATTTTGTTTTTGTGTGTATTAAACTTATGAAAAATAATTTAGGCTTATGTTTATGTTCAGCAAAATTTAACTCTTTTGATTCATCATACACCCCTCAATACAGCTTCAATAGCGACGTGTTAAACTAATAAGGAAGCTGATAAGATGTAACTCATATTTGGCATTTTTCTTATTTTATTGTTCTGTTGAATTCTTGACTTTGGGGTTTGGGTTTTTGATGATTCAGACTCATGTATTGTATTTTATGTGTTTTAAAGTAAAAGTAAAATGTAAGAGAGAGAGTGAACGTATGATAATAACAGCTCTGAAAGGAAGTGATAGCTAATATGAAGCAATTGTATGTATATTTAAATATTTTGTCTTGATTTTAATTTGCCCTCTTGAGCTCTTTGTGTGACATTGTGATTGGTATGATGAGGTTGTGGATGTGTGTTTGTCAAAGTATGATTGGGTATGGGAGCATTGGGTACTGTTTGTGCTTGCTTCTACGCTTGTAAAAGCACGTAATTGGTGTGCCTTTTAACTAAGAGAAGAGTTTGTGGAAAGCAAGCATGCAATGTGTTCCATGAGTAGGATAGGGCCCTTCCACTCCAGTCCCCAAGTGAATGGAAGTTTGTGTTGTGATGACCCTCTCCTTTTACCACGTCGTTTCCCTGCTTTTTAACTTAATAGATTTTAGTTGAGTCGTTGAAGAGCAGCACGTGAAAGGTTAAATCCACATCTCCACATGTTACACGGAAAATCAAATTTTGCTGAGGAGAACAAAATGCATCAACTAATTATTGTAAACTCGATCCAATTTTAAAATTCCTTTCCATCAAATTCAGCTACACTTGCTTTAATGAATTCAATTAAACTCAATTATTATTTGTGAACATTTTATTTTATATATTTTAATTTCAAACATTGTAATTCTGTTTATTTCAAATTTAAAAACAATTCAATTTTTAAAAAACTAAGTTTAAATATTCATTTATTTATTTTTATTCAATTACGCCAAGTACCAACTTTATTTCGTCCAAATTTTTTAACAGCCCTAATAATAAATGTTAAAGGCAGTTATTCCTTCTCTCCTTTTTACAAGGAATAATTTACTAAATTCTACTTTTGTTTTGTACACCTTATTTCAAAATGTAGAAAAAAAAATGAAACGATTTTCTTAATTTATTCTTATTTTATACTTTCTATTAAACTTCTCCGCGTTTTTAAAAGTGGTTGTGGTGATTTTATCATTAGTACTGAAATAATTATGGAAGAGATAATAGATTTTTTTTTATAAGAAACTGATGATTTTTCAATAGAAGTTTTTTGTTGTGTGTTTGCATTATGATGTGAATATATTGAATACATGTTTTTTTAAACGATTTGAATTACTTAAAAAATATATATTAAACAACTTTTATACTTTTATGTAATAAATATTTCTTTCAGTCTTCTATTTTTACTATTTACTTCTCATAAAGTATTTATGAAAATGAAGATTTTTTTTTCAATTATTTTAAGGCTGTTAATTAATTTTAGTACATCTTCTTGATCTTTGTTGAATTGATTAAGAATAACTTATATGACTTCCCATTTTTTATATAACATTTTGTATCATATATTATCAATAATTGTCAATGTAGTTTTTTAAAAAATTGATTAACTATTTTAACATTATGATAACCTTTATTGAAGTTTTTTTTTTCACCAGAATTTAAACTTGCTAAATTAGTTATACTCAAACTATTGATATATATATATATATATATATATATATATATATATATATTAATTTTTAACTAACAATTTTAAAAAATAAACTATTTCATTTATTAACAATTTTAAAATTTTGAGATAACATTCCTTTTAAAAAATAATCTGAGATAACATTAAGCATGATTTCAATCACATCTTATCAAACTCAACAGAAAAAGTAATTTTATAAAAAATAGATAGATTAATTTTCTTTTAATTTATGCAAAAGGAGCATAAGAAATGAAAAGATAGATACAATATTTACTTTAACTTTTCTCAGGAGTTTCCTTCCCTCCAACATGGGGTGAGGGCTGAGTGAAAGCATAACCACTGGATCAATCAAATCAGATTGTTGTCACATATGATAACGCAGAAAATTTATTGGTCCTTTAGTTCATTCCTAACTACAACCATTATAAAAATAAATATATTGTATAAAATATATAATAATTTGAATATTATTTATTAAATTTAAATTTATTTTATCATTTTTTTAATGAATTTGTAATTTTTATTTTAGATATTCTAACCCTCAATCTAATTTTTTATATATTTTAACATCAAAATAAAATATTATAAAATATTAAAATAATTAATTATTTTATATCAAATAAATAAATTTATATGAATTTTATATTTATTATATTACACTATTATATGTTAATTTGTTTTAATATAGAAAAAAATTTATTGTTTCTCTATTTCAAGAAAATTACTACAGAACGTGTAATTTATTTTTTAACTTTTTATTTTCCTTTAAAGTGAAAATATGTCCAACGCGAAAAAAAAACTAGAAGAAATTATAATTTTATTTTTATAAAGGTAAATACAAAAAATTAAAAATAAATAGAGTCTTACAAGTTTTATGTTGTAAGATAAAAATGTGAAAGAAAAGAATATGAAACTAAACGAGTAATAAAGAAATAAATAAAAATGTAAAATGACAAAATGTATAAAAATTTGAGGTGAAGAAATAAAAATGTGGGAGAAAAAAACATTATAAAGTTTGGACATAGAAGGAGGAGAGAAAAAATGTGTACGTGAGAAATTATGTGAAAGAATATAAATATTTATTATAAATGAAAATATGAAAGTTAAAATGATGAAAAAATAAATTTTATTATATTTTAGAACTAATTTTTATTTAATTTTTAAAAACTAATATATATCAAATTTCGGTGTGTGTGTGTGGTGGGAGGGAGCTTCCCCACCGTTGGTCCGATTGAATCCGTATTTTGTCCCTTATAATAAATAGGTTCTAAAAGGTTTACTTTAGAAATTTTTATTGATATTTTAGGAAGTTTTATGGAATCAGCTTTCTAGAGATATTCTGGAATGGAAATCTGGTTTCTTATGAAAAGACCAATCCAAAACTTTCTAAAAAATATCTAGAAATGAGTTTTGAATTATACATTTCAAGAAAAACAAAATGCATAAATGAGATTGAGGTGGATAGAGTCTTGTATTGTTGAATTTAAATACATTTTTAGAAACTGGAAATAAATCATGGATTGTTTAAGTCCATGTATTATATTTTAGAAATACAATCTGAAAATGAGTTTGGATCAGCCTATTCGTACCTATTTATGAATTTTGTTTCCATGGAATGTATTATGAATTTAATAATTAGGAACACTATAAATGTAAATCAAATAATGTCTAGATTCAGAAATATGTTTTTGAATTTAATATTTTTTAATGTGTATTAATAAGGTAATGTATTATTTAATTATTAATATTATAATAAAAATAAATTATTATCATAACATATGTATTTTTATTACTTAAATATCTCTTGTACGAAGCTTATAAAATATATTATTTTCACTTATTTGGGATCAGTTTTTACTTTGATAGAAAAAACATTTTCTTTTTATTGAATTAAACTTTTGTTCTTGAAAACAATCATATTTCATCTTACTTAATCGGGTTTGTGAGCATAATAGATAGTCCAAACTGTTTGTGGTTAAAGACGAATTTTCAATCTACTTATTCATGATCAAAGTAAATAAAATCCAAACTACCAATTTAATCATTTGTCGTTTTATTTGGAATTATTTTTTTTTTGGTAAAAACAAAATACATTCTTTTACGATATATTTCGATGCACAACAAATTATACAATTTAGAGCATAAATCATAAACAAATTTATAATCTTAAAGTGAAAAATAATGTTTTAAACGAAGGTGCAGAGGGGTGTGACCATTGTTGGCCCCCATTGTGACGTTTGCTTTTTACTGTGCAAGAAAACTTCATAACAAAGTTTTCCTCATGCACAGTAAAAATTTTTCTTTTATATGTTCGAAGGGGGGAGGAATGGTTTTTGCGGGAAATTCTTCCTCCCATATCACATGTTCCTCATTTTTCTTCTTCTATTGTCTAAATTTCAAGCAACGAGACTCTACTCGTGCAGGATCTAGTGAAACGGGAGAGAACTTGAATTAAGTGAGAAAATTTCGGTAGAAATACCACACCAGGTAAGGGGAAGTTTAATTCATTCAATATATGAAATTGAATTGTTGGGTACTCTGTGAATACCATGTGAATAAGGAATAAGAGTAAATATATGAATTATTTGAATGTTTGATTTTGAAGAATTTCTGATTTTGGATGCACTGTTCATGGTTTGAAAGTTTTTGAAATTCTTAAAATTAAAGATGAATTATATGGTAAAATTGTTGTTTTCAACTTAAATTAGATATAATTCATGTTTAATTTCGATTTGAGACTAGTTTGATTGTCTAAAACTGAGTAATTTGAAATCTGCCAAAATCTGCAAAATTCGATACTGTTACTGGGCGAAGGAAGAAGAAAGGGATATGGTGGGGATTTTTTAAAAAGATCAAGGGTAAAATAGTCATTTTACATCCTAGGGACATAAATGTAAATTTTGAAAATGTTCAAGGGCAAAATAGTCATTTTACATCCTAGGGACATAAATGGAATTTTTAAAATTGTTCAAGGGTAAAATAGTCATTTTTGGGACATGAAAGGAATTTTCGATAATGTCCAAGGTAGTCATTTAGGGACATACATGGAATTTTAAGAAAAGATTAAGGGCAAAATAGTAATTTAATGATTTTGGAAATGATTTCGAAAATAGTTTTGGAAATAGTTTCGAAAATGATTTCGGAAATGATT